CTCTCTCTCTCTCTCTTTCCGGAACTGGGGATTGAACTCAGGCCCTTGCACTTGCCAGGCAAGCTCTTATTCTACTGAGCTACCTTCCCAGCCCCATGAAAACCCTCCTGACATGGGTCCAAGGCCCGGATATGAGGCCTGAAACTGCTACAGGGAAGCAGGGAAACACTCGGACCCCGACTTCCTGAATAGGACCCTTCCAGCTCAGCAAGAAAGGCCCGGAACGGACAAGCAGGACTGCACAGCAGACAGGCTGAGGCAGCAAGATTGTTGGGGCTCGAGACTCGTCTGGGCTACAAAGTGAGCTCAAGGCCAGCCTGAACTGTGTAGTGAGACCCTGTCTCAGAAAGACCAAAAATAAGATTTCACAGCAGAGGAAACAAGCCACAGAGCAAGGAGAATAGGAAAGAAGCATCTGCCAGCTGCCCAACTGGCAGGCTCGTCTCTATGACGTATGTGAGGGGAACTTGAAAACTTTCACACCGAAAGTGACGAGAGTGATGGGACAAGTGCACGTGAAGTGACAGGGAGAATTCTGAGACATTAATGGCAACACATCTTTTTTTCCAAGACAGGGTCTCACCCCGTAGTTCCAGCTGACCTTAAGCTCACGGTGATCCTCCTGCCTCAGCCTCCTGAGTGCTGGGATTATGTGGGCGAGCTTTGCAGCTTTGGGATCCTGCTGTGAACAATGTGTGAGAAACATAGAGCACACTGGTCTTTTCCTCCAGAAACGGAATAACTTCTCCCACAAATACTATGAAGCAGTTCGAAGCACCCCAAGGGGGATTTGGGGACCCAGACACTTCTGCTCAGGCAGGTTGTTCAGGGTGAAGCCACAGCGAAATGTCCAAAGGCCGACGAGTAGGAAGCCTGACAGTCCCGAGCTCTTGCAGAGTGAGCGATCGGTGTGTAGTGGCTTTTAAGGCACCTGCAGCTGGAGTCACACAGCAGGACAGAAATGCAGGGGGAGCGCAAACTCAGCGTCGGTCCTGTGGAATGGGGCGCACAGGCCCAGCCTGGGAGACGGAACCCTGACTCCGCTGGGAGTCAGGGAGAAGAGGTGGCCGGGGCAAAGAACTGACGCCCTCACCTTGCCAGCCTGGAGTCAAGCCAAACCGCGACAAGCTCAGATACACAGCTCTAGCCAGGAAGATGGCTCAGTAGAATAAGAGCTTGCCTGGCAAGTGCAAGGGCCTGAGTTCAATCTCCGGTTCTGCTAAAAGAGAAAGAAAAAGAAATCCAGTGTAAAAATAGTGCCGTGAGTGGCCCACAGGAGAGAGGAGGAGAGTGCCTCTGTACACAGGCAACTCCGCAGCGCTGAGGCCAGTAGTCCTGGGGTACAGTAACCCTCATGCGGCGTCCTTGTGGGGAGCCTCGGGCCTGGGACTCAGCATCCCACCTGTCCCATCCTGAAAGCCTGAAGCTGCCGTCAGTGCCAGGCAAGGCGGCCCCAGCCCGGCCTCTGGTGAGCTCAGGAAAGGGCACTTCTGGACTCTTCCGGCAGGGGCTGGCCACGTCCCTCTGAACCCTGACCTGCCCACAGGCACTGGGCAGGGAGTGCCTGCCAGGCGCCTTCCTGCCCCTGCTCCAGGCCACCAGCAGGGATGACTCCACAGGACACCACACCAGCCCTCCAGGCAGCTGGGCACAGGGCAGCTGTAAATAGAAGCAGCTGTTGCTCGCTTTCTCCAAGCCCTTTCCGGGAATGGGTCTACTCGGTTTGGGTGACTTGGGAGGATTTTGTTTAAAAATAGTCTTCTCAGAGCCAGGGTGGCGGCACACGCCTGTAATCCCAGCACTCCGGAGGCTGAGGCAGGAGGATCTCAGAGAGCGAGCCCAGCCTGGCTACCTAGTAAGTCCATGACCAGCCTGAACTGTACAGGGAAACCATGCTTAGCGGCCAAACAGACACAAATAATTGACTAAGGAATATCAAACACGCATCTCACAAGTTAGCTTAACCGCATAATCAGAGCGCGTGTTTGATGGACTTAGAGAAACTGAATACCTGGAGGCCACACCCAGGCCCAGGCCCAGCAGAGCCACGCTCGCCACTCATGGGGGGGGCAGACTGGCCGCCCCCGCTAAGGCCCAGCTCCAGAAACCTCGGGACTCTGCGCAGCGGCTTCTGCAGTCATCGACCCCAAGTGACCAGGACGGGAGTTCTGCCTGAGGGCGATGGGGCCGGAATTTTCTGTCTGTGCCCACCAGGCAGCGATGTGCCTCTCACCCACTTCACATGGGCTTTGGCCTCCGCCATCCGCTCAGTGTCCTGGTTCCATCGGACTGCCCAGTGTCGGCCCCCTTCCCTACACTGCCTCCCACACTCCCGTGCGCCTTGGGCCTCTGTGGGCTCCAGGGACAGCAGCTGCCACGCTACCAACATGGGAGAGGTGTGTGTTCCATGCCCCGCTGTGCATCCCTTCACACCTGGGCCCAGGACGGACACCGCTGGTGCAGGGATGCGGCCTGCTAGGACATGCCGCTGCGTGAGGACACAGTCCAGCTGCCTGAGCCCCCGAGCACTACACGTGTGTGCGTGTGGCTATGGGCAGGCAGGTGTGTGCACAGGCATATTGTGTACATGCATGTGCATGCTGTGTATGCATGGGGCCTGTTCAGATGGCCATTTCTCAATGACCCCAGTAGCAAGCGAGAGCCACCTAGCCTGACCTCACCAGCCTGGGATCCAGAGCAGACACAGGAAAATGCGGATGGGTCTGCAACCAAAGGAAGAGACTGCTGTGCTTAGGGCTAATTAGCGTCGTTCATGCTCACTGAGGCAACACATGTGCTAAAATTGGACCGGTACAGAGATTGCATGGCCCCTGTGCAAGGATGACACATAAATTTGTGAAGCGTCCCATATTTTTACCAAAAAGCAGGAGCCAACATGAATGACATGAAAAGACTATTTGCAGGGCTGCGAGAAGGCTCAGTGAAATAAGTGCTTGCCTGGCAAGCGCAAGGGCCTGAGTTTGATCCCTGGCACCACATACACACAAAAGACTACTTGCAGGAATAATAGGAGAATATTTCCCAAACATGGGAAAAGAATCTGACATACAGGGAAGTGAGGCATATAGAACTCCAATTAGCAATAACCAAAATAAATCTGCACCCAGACACAAAATGATCAAGATCCAAGAAATTCAGCAAAAGAATAGAATATTAAAAGCTATTAGAAAAGAAACAGATCACCTCTGAAGAAAAGCCCTTCAGAATCACAACAGACTTCTCAACACAAACCATCAGGTCAAGAAGAACTTGGAGTGAAGCATTTCAGGTCCTCAAAACAAATAGTCTCCAACCCAGATTAATGTACCCTGCAAACCTCCCTTGCAAAATGAATGGAGAAATAAGATACATATCAGTAATAACCAATAATGTAAATGGTCTCAATTCACCAAGCAAAAGAAACAGACAGGCAGAGTGGATCAAGAAGCACATTTAGGGCTGGTGAGATGGCTCAGTGGTCTAAAGCACCTACTTAGAACAAGCTTAGCAAAGCACAGGGACCACAGTTCAATCCCCCAGCACCACATGCCAGCCAGCCCCGCCCCCTAGTGGACTGAGCTGGCCACACACACAAAAGAAAGAAGAAAGAAAGAAAGAAA